GGATGCATGTTTTTGAAAATTTTCCGGATACGTATTTGGAAGATAGAAAGTGTCCAGCAGTAAGGTCAAGGGATTTATTCTCAAATTACGCGAAAATGTCTTGGTTCGAAAAGATTCTGCAAAAGTTTTTGCTTCATCGTTGCTAGTTATTCTTGAGAATTTAGAAAAAAGTTTTGGACAGATGAGCTCCATTATTTGAAATACCCGTCCGATTTCCACCCTCAAAAATCAAGATCTTGTCGAGATATTCCGGAGTTCCCGTAAATAACCCCTTGCCCAATTTTGAAATTGCAGCATTTGATTTCATTTCATAAACTTTCCCTCGATTGCCAAATTTATCCGTAAATTAATCATCTCCTTTCTCCTGTCGCTGATCTGCAGTCAGTAGTCCAGCGTTCAAAATTGTGCAAAATAAATCTCGTAGAGTAGTTATCAAAAACAGTGATGTACAGTCTTTAGATTATCGTTAATGAATTTTAGTAAGACATAGGAAAATTGTTACACTCGGGGCATTGATGAATTTAGATGAATGTTTCTACACCGGCACAGTGTTGGTCATCGGCTCGATGAAAAAGGAATTGCACAATTGCGAAATGATGTTCCTCCAGCGGGTTCCTCTTGAGCTTGGTCGTTCACACTGGGACGCCGAAAATGAAACGCTGGGCCGGGGAAATGAAATATAACCAGGCGTCTTCGCGATACCCAAGACGAACCCCGGTCAGCTTCGCCTTTCTTCCAGCATCAGGCCCTCAGCGCACTTCCTTTTCACGTCAATAAGGAGTTTTAAGGACCCAACGTATCTACTTATACAAAATATTGAGGTTCTTGTGTACAGTACTGTGCAGCACTACTCCATAATAAAGAGAGACATCATGAATTCATGTGCATTGAAAATTAAATGCATTAGAATATTCTCGTGCGATGATCGTGAGAAACGAATTTTCAAATGCTTAAAATTTTTTTACACAATCAGAGGATCTTGTTCATCATGCGCGTAATGTTTCAGTTTCCCACTTCACTACGTTTATATAATCAGCATAATGGTTTTCCAGCAGAACATTTTTCAAATTATTTCGGGAGGAGGAGGAATCTTTTATTTAATTTTCAACCGTCAATTTGTATCCGAAGGTCGAGATTGGTTCGAAAAAAATAAAAAGTTTACAGCCGAATGAAAAGCGCAGTTGCACCTTGTTCTTCAAAAAATATATCACAAAATATTTTAATTCTAATAAGCTATCGGGTTATTTTTTTTGGCTCTTCGAAACTTGTTTTCGCAGACATTAACTGCTAAATTAATAAAAATGATCTGACGAAAAAGCAATATCCGCTCACTTCGGTTCTTGTCAATCGTCTCTCACATCTCCTTCTGGCCATCATGAATTCAAATTCAAGATTTAAATTCCTTTCACAAGTTTTTAAAGTAAAACCGAGAATATTTAGAATTCCATACATTTTGTGCGAAAACAGTACGTTTTCTTGCAAAAACACTCATAGTCCAATGCACTCGAATCGAATAAATTCGAGCTGATGAATATGCAAAATATCATCAGTACGATGCATTTAAAATAAATGTCAAATTTATTTAATTTGTAATAAGACACACTTGAGAGCCTGAGCTGTTCAACTTTTTTCCAAAGAGATTGCCATCCAACATTTTCTCGAAGGATACATGGCCACGCAAAAAAAAAAAAACTCATATAGGGAAGTTTTCGACCCAAAAAGGTTCAAGTTATAGAGGGTTAACAGGAATTCTCAAAACTGGAGGATGAAGGTCACTATAGACAACTTGAGGAATGAAACTCATTATTCAATCTTCCGGGGGGTAATTCATGTTTACAATCAGAGAAAAAAAATGAATGAGGACTTAGGGATTGGCTTCAAGTGAGACACATACCCCAATTTTCCACCCTAAAAGTTAGATCCTATCCCCAAATTATATTCGCACCCCATTTTTAGGGACGGAAAAACTCCAGTATATGAAAAAAGAAACACTAGCATTCAAACTTGAATATTACTTTAACCTGAATTCAATTGATTATCAATTGTTTTGATTGTAAAAAGTTGATACCGAAATTTGCCATGATATTCAAGTGTTACACATACTTTAAATTCCTAAAAAAAATTTAACATTTCATATTCCGCCTATATACCGTATGTAGACGACGCGCACATCCTGTTTTTCTTCCAATTCAGAGAAGAAATAAAAAACACGGTGCACTTGGCACTCACGTAAATACGGCCTTTCTGACCCCTATAGTTCCTCCTTTTCCTGCTTGAAATAACGTCATTCGCAGAATTCCACTTGACGAGCGCAAAATTCCCAAGGAGTCATCGCGAAGAGCGCCTTTGCGGCTCGCATCCTTGTTCAAAACGCAAGATCAGGGAGAAGCAACATGTTGAGCATCCATGCAGCTTTTAAAAAAAGTAAAAAAAACGAAGAGGGAAATGAACAAGACGAAGAAGAAAAAGCAGACAAGGAATAAATAGACGAAGAAGAGCCTATTGCGTGCAGCAATGCGGGGAAACCATTATTTCGCTCATCGGGTTCGTCGGGATTTTATTGTCATTTTTATTCCGCCCCCGCGGGAGGGCCCCCTTTTTTGCTCAGAATCACTCTCGGCTCTCGCTGTATGTTGCAGGGGCACGAGTTTGTTGAGAAGTGCTTCGCATTCCTGCTACGGCATTGTTTTTTCTTCATTTTCCGCATTTCCTCGTACAGTATAATAAGAGTTCAGCGAGAGAAAAACCTAAATCGAAATCTCGCACGCTGGAAAAATTATCGGCTTATTATTGATCTCCATCCCAGATTCGGGCGCAGTTCGATTTAAAAAAAAGATCGGTTAGAAATTAGTCTGATTTCAACACTTTTTCTAATCACAGTACAGTACTGTATCTGCACAACGTTCTCAAATCCCTCCATATTTCAAAAAAAAAAATTGAAGAATTCAGCGCATCGTAATTTTATTACGTCACTTCTAAACTTTCAATACCACTGACGATTTGAAAATCACAAGTGGTAGCTCGAAACTGCACATCACGAATAAAATGGGTAATAGTCACTACGCTAGCTGGCATTCAAACATTTTTCTTTGTTCGATGGTTGCAAAATTAAGTGGGTGAAAAATCCAATTTAATTTGGAAGACAGGAAATGATGAGTGAAAAAATTATAATAACTGGGATGATCTGATGACCAAAATGCGAAAATGTTGCTTGAAATATTAAAAAAAAAAGGCTAAACAATGGTAATACTGTACTGTATATTCAGGAATCATTTTCTGAATATTTTTGCAAGGAACTATAAAATCCTGAGAGTAGCACCGAAGCAAAAGAAAACCTTAAAATGTATGCCTTCTGTGTGGAATCCATCGAATCTCCATATACAGTATAGGAAATGCTTAAAATAAAGAACTGCTGGTGAATACATATCAAGTGAGAGCAATTTCAAGGTGTTCTGCATGTTGAAGTCGAAATAAATAATAAAACTCGCCAGTAAACGTTTGAAGTACATTTCGCATGCGAACAACAATGATTTTCATTGACACGCTCCGAAAATCCGGATCTGGTTATTTCCCTCATCAGTCATTCACGAGAATAAAAAAAAAAAATTGCAGCACTTCCTTGCGTCTAATTCCATAACCTTGCAACGAAAAAAAAACAAGCAAACAAAATTCGAATGAATCAATGTTTTAAATACTTTTCCACATCGCACAAAAATCGCAACACGATCAAGTAGTTCATGTCACCGGGGTTTCCGTCCACAAAAAAAAAAGGGTGCAATTCTTTTCGTTCTTCCCGAAGCGAAAATTAATTGAAAATTACTGCTTCACACACAGAAAAAAAAATTATGGTTTCTTTTTCGAAGCCTGCATTTTATCGTGTCTGCGACGAATGCAATTTTTTTTTCTCTACTTGAGAACAGAGCTAAGATGGCGGTTATTTCAACCGAAGGAATAAATCACTGTCATGCCGGAGTTGCTCGTGTCCTCAGACGTGTCCATTGACTGCGACTGTTCAGACCTGTTATTCATCTCGTTCACTTGCTGGAAATCTGCTCCTTGCATCACGACGCCATGCGGTACTAAAATCAAATCATGACACATAATCCATCATAATCTCTCGTTAATTCATCGTCCGGTGTTTTGCGAGAGAAATTAAATGGAACCAAGAAGACATTCTGACTCGAATCACGAGGACGACTTCATCTCAATGGCGTTTCCTTCGCTCGAATTATTTTTTTTCTGCATATCGTGGTGAGGATACAACTTCAGATAATCAAAAGTCGTGGAATTTGAGGGTTGGTTCACTAGTTTTGTCAGCGAAGTACCGTTTTTTATTTTTAGCTTTGTTATTCAAAATATTGGGAATAAACTGGCATTTAATTGGTCTCAAAGCTTTGTTTTTTTAACCAGGCTAAAATGTCACACACATCGTATAACTTATCTTGCAAACATTTTTCACCGATTCCTCGCAAAAATCTCAAAAATCTGCAAACCGAGTCCCTGTCTGAATTCCGACTTGTTCCTATCTCCGTAATTTGCGGAAAATTCACGGTGAGTGTGAAGATATAGCCTTAAAAATCAAGTTCGTAAACAAAATATTGCCCAGGTCAAGAAGAAAACTCAGACAATTTCAACAGTGGCATGTTTTTAGTCTTTTAACAGAGATTCAGTGGTTTTAGGCATATTCTCAAAACAAAACAAAAAATCGGCTACCTAAAATTAGACTTTAGTTTCAAAGTGTATTGACGAAACTTTCGATCCGTCCCTCGTATTTCTTTTGTCATCAGTATACTTGTTTGATAACATTCACAAAAACAGGGTCATTAATTGCTGTCTTTTTTTTCTATAATAGCCAAAGAAAGAAAAAAAATAAATGAAAACAATAGGACCGGAAAGGAAACGCACTCACTGCCGTTGCTGCCGACCTTGTTGTTGCCGCCGACTTTGGTCATCTGGTGCATGTGCTTCTTCTGCCTGGCCCTGGAGTTCTGAAACCACACTTGGGTGACTCTCTTGGACAGGCCCGTGATTTGGGCTATTCGTTCCAGGTCCTGGCCATCCGGGTTCGAGTCCAGCTGGAAATTGGCTTGCAAAACCTGCAGCTGCTCATCCGTGAAGGTGGTGCGGACTCGTTTGGCTTTCGACTTCCCGGACCCGCCTGACGAGCCGTTGGCACCACTGCCTCCGCTTTCTCCGTCGCCGGATTCTGTCGAAAGAATTTCAGAAAAAAATACCAATAGAGACACATTATCTAAGCTCAGTTGGACTTCACTCAAGTAAAAAAAGAAAAAAGAAAATCCTACTTCAAATTCATGTTTAAACCCTGTCTGAATTCCCTCGAGAAAAATATGCGAAGTGGTCCCGAGATGCGGACGTGATTGGTGCTTGGACCTCGTCCTTATGTTGGAACGTCTGATCACGTTTTCCTTGGATTTCAATGGGAATGCAATTAATCGATGTTTCTGTTTATTAAAAAACTAGAAAAAAGTCCCCAGGATTTGAATAAAATAATTTTTCTCAACTTCATTATGCAGAAATAACTAGGCATGCAGACGAAAACTGCTCATAATCTGATCTTTTGGCATGAACAGGAGCCCAAAAAGCGGAGAACAAGCAAAAGTATTCTTTTATTGTAAAAAAATCTCTGGAAAAGGCACAAAATTAGCCCGTTTTGGATGAAAAATTATGGTGAATTTAAAAATAAAATTCATTTTTAATATTTGTGAATATAAAAAGCTCTAGAAATGTTGGAAAAGGGTTTGCATCTTGAAACATTGTCTCGATGTTGGGGAAGATTTTTTGATGAGGTTCAATTGTCCCTAAATCAAATCGTCCATTTGTCAGGGTGATTAATTTCGGACATATTTACTCTTTTTCGAATTCTAGACTTCGATATTCAGGTCCTCCTTTTTAGAATATCTCTGAGAAAAACGTCCAGATGATTTGAAGCGTTCTATTATATTCAAATAAATTTTCAGGATCCAACGAGACATTTTTTCAGTTTATTATCGAGTGCCCTTCAAATTCAAATGGTTTTTTGTTGTTGCGTGAAAAGCGTCTATATATTGCCTCAAGAATTCCATTCGAGGTTCTTGAAAAGCCAGGTGCTCACCGTCATAAGAGCTGTTCCCGCCGTCCACGGTTTCCAGGTAGTGGGTTTTGCACAGCACCTGGTTCTGGTGCAGAGCAAATTCCTCGCCGGTGGATAACTGCCTTTTGCAGGCCTCGCAAGCGAAGCACGCCAAATGGTAAACCTGGTCCCGAGCCCGACGAACCCAGTCCGTGGTGTTTATCCCGCGCCCGCATTTGGCGCATCTTGCACCGAAAGTCCTGCGCAAAAAATGTAAAAAAAAAACTCAAGTCTCTAATACTTGCAAAAATTGCAGTTACTGTTTAAAATAAAAGATGAAAATTTCAAACGATTTCCCGGATAGAACTTCCGAAAAGCAGAAGAAAAATCTGTTGAACGACCTAAAAGCTCGCACAGAAAAAAAGCCTAAACTTCGGGTACAGTATATAACAACCCATCAGTCCTCAACATGATACTTCTGACAACCCTTATTGTGCGGCGGCAAGAAGCGCCAGGGGGCAGGATTTCGATTCGATTCCATGCCAAGGATCCTCACCCTTCCCCTCTTGCGCCTCCTCTTTTTTTTTCCAGCGATCTCAACCCAACCCAACCCAGGAAGGTTCATGTGCCCCTTTTGGTATCCGTTCCGCATCATTGCTCGATTCCCCAGGAATGTAATCCGATTGTCAGAGATATTTGTTACAGTACTGGTCTCGGTGTCTGTTGGAGTTCATTGCATGGCTGGGCATTCATGTGCCCCTTTTGGTATCCGTTCCGCATCATTGCTCGATTCGCCAGGAATGTAATCCGATTGTCAGAGATATTTGTTACAGTACTGGTCTCGGTGTCTGTTGGAGTTCATTGCATGGCTGGGCCGGGGTGGTGTTATATATACACGCTGCAGCCGGAAAAAGACCTGCACGCCCTTTTCTTCTTGCCGTGTTTGCACATTCTGTTCTAACCCCCCGACGACAACTGGCCCTGATTTTTCTCATCATCACAATATCCACTGAGTGAGTTTACGGAAAATATATGGAAGGGGCTTTAAGCAGGTTTTTTTTTCTTGTTACGGTATTTACCTGAGTACCAAACCCCCTGCTAATAAAGGAAGATGCACACCTTCAATTTTTAAAATCTGAAATATTTTGGAAAAACCCCATGCTTGACATAAGACTCACACCATGCCTTAGTTTTTACTCTTCTCAGTTACATTACCAGAATTCGTATAAAAAAACACTTCGGGTACACTTGCAAATTCAGGCACAGATAAAAGTTGATTTTAGCAGCGTTGTTTTTTGTGTGTGCCTACTGATCATATGCAAAACAGGACTCTGAAATTTTGTTTTTGAAGTAGGGAAAAATTGTTCTTGAAAATTTCACTTGATATAATTCCCGCATGACTTGCACTCATTTTTTTCAAATTAAATTGTAAAAATTGTACCCACGTGCCACACAATGACGCACCTAAGTATTTTTCAATGTCTTTAAAAAAGGTATTTTTTCAGGACAGGTTTCTCCAACTTTCAATTTAAAAAAAAAAATGATACGCAGTCCGCCTAAGATGGGCTATTGGAGCTTCGATAGAAAATGTATAATATTTATGTTTATAAAAGTGCCAAAATCATCCGAAAAACTCAGAAAATACGTTTGAGCAGAATTTAATAGATGCATTTGATTTTCTCCATTTGGAAAAAGATTTCGCATGGGAAAAATTGAATAGTTTTTCTACTTTTTCTGGTTTCTATTTTGATGCGTGGGGACTTGTTTCTTGAAGTTAAAGTGCATTTAAAATGAAATTAGACCTGAATTTAAATCCAAATTGAATTGAAAATTTAATTCATATGTTCTATATTATTGTCATATAGTTCTGCGTGCCCTCATCGATTGATTTTCAAATAAACTGTCCTTCAAATTATTTCATTTGTAGAGAGAAATATTTATACAGGGTTCTCAACGAAAGGTTCCCAGAATGCATTTGTCAAATAAATGGGAAGGAAGATGATCCCAAATAACGCTGATTTCTGGAGAAACAACATTTCAAAATTTGTCTTGCGTGTATTGTTCTGTTCGGAATCGTATTCCATAAAAGATGCCGGCATTATTTTCCTTAACAGTAATTCTCTTTGCTTCTGGAACACCCTTTTACTAGCTGTGGTCTGTAGCGGTCGAAGAAACCGAATTTCCATAGCTTGAATATTGAGGTTTTGGCGGAGCGGTCGACAAGATTCGTGAAATGAAATAAAATGTTGACCACAAATTTCATTCAGACCTCTTTCCCCGCAAAATGCAGAATTGACGGATGGAATCTTCCTATCTTTCACTTAAGATGGGAGGTACTGAAATAACGGGTGATAGCTTTTTCGAATTATGCGAAAACCGCAAATCGCACTCAGAATTTTGTTGCTGCACACAAGGTTCAGTTTTGGCTCGAGCAGAGTATTACCTTGAATCCAAGTAATCAGGCTTGAGGCATTGGATTTTCGAGCAAATCCTCCATCGCGTTTTTAATGAATTTTTACAGCTGTACCTTTATTGAGAAGGTTCATGTGAAAAAAAACTCACATTGCTTTGCTTGATAGACGAGACGAAACTCTGAAAATTTGTTATCGCCATTAAAATGAGAATAGCTTACGCACACTGGAGTTAAACGGATCAGATTTTCTCTTGTGATCTGGGATTTAAATTTTGATCCCTTTGAAACATCGCGACGATTTTGAGTGATTGAGAGAGTCAATATATATATACTTCTTTAGCTGTGGAAATTGACCTAAATTAAAAAAATTACAATATCAAAATAATGCTTGTGATTTTCATTGATTACGTGCACCAGTCCCCAGAATAAGTGTCTCAATCTGTAATTTCTTCGTTCACCCAAGTACAGTACAGTACTGTACTCTTACTTTAAAAAAGTCATCCCTTTCCTGGCTTGGTTCGTTTCTTGCGGAATGCTCGAAGTTGGTTATAAATCATTCCGTAAATCTTGCCTATAAACCAAATTCAAAGGCATTCTTACGTCAGCATTTCAAAGGACTGGACGGGAAATCTTCATCAAATATCTTCGAAAAAACAGGACCTTCGAGGAACGCGGAAATGCGGTCAAAGATCAAATTTCACGCTATTTATTTAAATAAAAATTAGATTGCTAATGAGTGAGACGGAAATTCCATCATTGACCTCCATAAAAAGAATACTCTAACTTTACGGAAGAACTCGAAGCTATGCTTAATCCCCGTTGAAATGTCCACGTTTCCTTATCAAGTCCTTGAACACATAATAAAAAGGTTCCAGTTTTCGTCTGCGACCCAAGTTTAAATTGACTTTTGTGTGATGCATTTTTTGATTGATTTTCTGTTTTAAAACTTGAGAAAATTCGCTGTACAGTTTTACGTCTAATCTAAAGTATCTCATGAAAGAATCAGGACGAAGACATCTGGACGAATACAGCAGTTATTCTAAAAGAAGAGCTATACTTTATGAATGCAAGTGATGCATGATTCAAAACCCCTGCTGGAAATAATCCAGCTTTTTGTTTTCCCGCAGAAAATTCCAGAGCGAAAAGGCGACGTTCGCAAGGATGAGGAAGAAAGAAAACCGGTATAATAAATAAAATACGATAAAGTAAAGGCCTCTTTTTCCGTCTCCCCCACCCCCCCCCCCCCCCCCCCCCCCCCCCCCCACCCCCCCCCCACCCATTCCGTAAAGTTAGAGTATTCTTTTTATGGAGGTCAATGATGGAATTTCCGTCTCACTCATCCTAACAAGATTTCCTGGCCGAGGAAGAAGGAGAACTCCAGCAGCATCATATCCGGGGTTCTGCAGCAGCTGCTGGAGAACCTGGGACCTCAGTCGACGGTCCATTGGTCACGTGCTGCCTGATAAAATGGCTGGGGGAAGAACCTGCTCCAGTTCTGCCCCGCAATTCCTACGCATCACTTCTGCTCGTTTTTCCACCTACCGGGTGACTCGGATCTTCCCCCTCAGATAAAACTTGTGGGACATCCAAGAAAATTGTTTGATATTTTTTTAAAAGGCCGAATTCAAGCGCTTGAATTTCTCTTTTAAAAAATCAGCGCATCCGCCAGGTTTGAGTCAAATAATCTTCTGTCTCAGCACAACCATTTTTGAACTAGAAGTTCTTTAAATGCCCAAGTGTCTGAGTCAGGAAATTTAAAATACTTATTCTAAGTGGATCGATAATAAAAGGGGGGAAACAAGACTTCAATCCATTCATCAGAAATTTTGTTCAATTTAAACCCTCACTTGCATAATTTTGTATGCGTGAGAGGAAACCTTCACGCTTTGTATCCCCAGCAAAAAAGTTTTAAAAATAAAACCACGCCCACAAGCGTAAAAATTTCAAAGAGTTTCGCATAATCGTTCATTTGCAAAATTATTTGGCCAGGAAACGAAGAGGGGTTCATCGGGATAATTAAAAAAATAGAATAGAATCATCTGCATTAACAACATGGTATTAAATGAATCATTGCGGCGGTTACGGGATGATTGTGTTATCGTCTATTTGCTTAAAGTTGTCTGGAATGTTTCAATAAGAAAAAGGCGGCTTCGAAAATTCTAGTTGCACAGTAATTCCGATAAGCCATGCAGTCTTTTGGACAACCTAGCTTGAATTTAAAATATTCTCGACGGCAGAAAATCTCAAGTTCAACTCGACGATGGTTTATTTCATGTGGACTGACTGGTATTCTAGGATATCAAATACTACGATATTCAAAAGGATGCAGTAATATCCCGTAGTCGAATCGTTCTCAAAAATCTGAAATCTGCTGATTTCGAGCAGTTAAAATCCAGAAAATAAATTCGTAAGACCCATAAAAAAAAGTCTAGAAGAAATCCGGCGAAAATGTGTCTATAAACAGAACGAACGTATGGGATTTTCCAAGAAGAATAAGTTGAGCATTTGAGAAATTTTCTTACAAAAATCCCTCGAACCCACGAAAAAAAATCATATATTTCATGTTACCGTATATATGGGTGGAAAATCTGTCTGCTTCAAGCACACTTTTGCCTCCCATAAAAATCTGATACAGAACACAAATTTTTTTCTGTATGTTGTACAGTATTCTTTAGTATAGGGACTACGTAGGGTACCAACATTTTCACACCTCGTCTTCCCAATGAAGGCTCAATTCGGATATATTCGGTTATCCAAGAAATAACACCTGGTGTTCACATAAGAACATAACTATTTTTTTCCCACCGATTTAATTGTAAATTCATATGAAACAAAGATCTTGGGACACTCTGTCCCGAGGAAAATTGGAGGCGGCGTATTCCGAGCTCGTGGCCGCGCGTTTGGCCAGGGCCTCCGCACAACGGATATCCCGAGCACGACCCAACTTTGCAGCAAGAAAACCCGAGAGGTAAAAAATTATCTATATATATATATAACTATACTGTACTATATATATATATATAATATTTTATATACTGTATATTCGACTAAAGAATCCCCATGGTTCAGCAAAAAAAAAAAAAAATCATCTCCGAGAGCTCCTATACTCCTATTCTTTCCTTTTTATATTTATCAAGTCCGAACCCGACGGCGGAAATTTTCGCCAGGGCCCCACGTTTCCCGGGGATCGGAATTAATTCCGATTTTCTTACGCTCTGGATAGCGCTCCCTGTGCTTGCGTAATCCGTTTTATTGGCTTAGACAACAAACTGCTGATTTCTCCTCCGCCAACTACGGCAAACATCGCCTTAAAANAAAAATAAAAAAAAGATAGAGGCGGGGGGAGGAAGGCCCATGATGTTGGTGTATGTGAGCGTCAGGTCGATTCTTTTTTCCATCCCAACTCATTTCGGGTCTTTAAAAGTTACTGATACTGTGAGGGTTGATGGCTCATTCGGGAAGTGAGAGGGGAAGTGGCCCAAGCATCGTGATTTCGTCGTAAGCGGGGAACAAAGCGAAAATAGTGCATATACTGTATTTTTTTGTGGTAAATTTATTATTGCTAAAAATTTGATACATGTTGTCTGGTCTCCTGACAACTCAAAAATAATTTTTTTTTTCATTTTTATTTGATAATCAAGGGCCGGAAAAATGGCTCATTTATCAGTGTCAGCTGTCAGGTACTGTCAGGTATACCGTTTTGGACCCTCAAAAGCAACTCGTACTCTCTCAATGGGTTCATGTTCGTCCTTGAGGTCAAAATAAAATGTTTAGACGCAAATGTTGCCGATTTAAACGCAAGTCTTTGAAATTCTTGTTCGAACAGAAGCATAAAACATTTTACGTAAACTTTTAACGTAGCTAAGTAAATAAAAAAAAAATAAGGAATCGTATTGTATTATGTTCAAGTTTTTCCGAACTCATGATGGTCAGTATTGCGATAGTCATGAAACTTCAATAAATAATCCTGTATATTTCTCTAAAAATAAATATTCATGAAATACCAGTAATATGCCTTCTGGTGAGATGGAAATCGTCAAATGATGTCAAAATTTTAAATATCGATACATACTTTTGCCTTTAAACAGCACCACATTGTTGCATAAAATCTCGAGCATAAATTTTACAAGAAGCTCGCAAATCTCGCCTACATCAGTCAGTTTATTGAAACCATGCAGGAATGTTGAATGTGAAGATTTGAAGGAATCCGGAATGTTCCAGGTTTTTGAATTGTCAAACAACTCAAATCTCCGACGTGATTTGTTTCCTCGTTCTTTTTAATGCACATTGCACTTGCCGAATTGAAGAATCGTATTCAATGGCTTAAAAAGTAAAATCAAGATTTAACGTGAAGACTTTCTGTAAATCTAAAATACAAACTTCTTAAACCTTTTGAAACGCTTCAGTTCACTTGTCTTTCATCAGCTGTTTTATAGCACAAGGAACCCACATATTTTCCATAACTCAAAAATTAAATGTTCTGTGCTGTATTTGGTCACGCTTTCCTGCTTACGTCTCGGATTTCAATCAATTGATCTATGTATTCTTTGAAATACATAAATCATCTAATGCCAAAAAAAAAGTGTGTAGGTTTACTGGTGCTCTTCGATGAGGAACCTCAAGGGAATTTTCGGGGTTTTTCCCTGGGCTGATGAAAAAAAGTCGCGAATCTTGAAAAAAAGCTGTTCAAATTTCAAAATAAAAACGAGCTCGTCTGGCAGAATTTATTGAAACCCCCCGAGGGATGTTCAGAAGTCCCCTCGCATAACCAAAAGGACGCTTGTAATCCTGTAACGCAGTGCACGCAAGCTGAAAAGTATACACGAACAATGAACCAGGGGTGCAAAAGGGGACGAGGGGTTGGTTTCAGCACGAAATTTCGCAACTGATGAGAGAATGCTATAAACTTTATTTGAGGGGGATACGATCAAAACAGGATTTAAAAAAAAAAAATGAGAGAAAGAATCTTTCCCAAATGCTTTTTTTCTAGTGTTTGCAAGGTGTGTTACCAAACATTTGCTTCGCCTGATCGATCCTCTTATGACAATCTGTCGCCCTCTTTTTATTCTCCTTTCCCGCTCTTCGATTTACACAAATCCCTAAATTTTCAATCGCATGTAAGCCCTGTGTATTTACATCGCCTAGGGACAGGATGTCGCAGTTTACGTTTTGTTCCCCATTCATTATTATTGTGTATTTATTTCTTAGCTGACACGTATTACGACGGGAAATCGCAAATACCGACAAAAGCTTAGAGGCTAAGTCTCAGATCGATGGATTTTTTTTAAACTATCAACAGTTGATTCATCTAATTCCTTCCGACGTGCAGTTTCAAAAGTTAAATATCTTATATCATGGAAGTGGTCTGATCACGAGTGATTTTTTTTTCCTCGCGACTTTTTCAATCCCAATCATCCATGCTGTGGAATTTTCATTTGCTGCCCAAATCAATCAATTTACTTTTCAAACAATTTGATCTTCTTCCCTTTGGATGGAGGGGATGAAAAATTGAGTGCCAATCTTCTGAGGCTGATGCGGATGAGCAGAAAGCAGAGGTAAAAAAAAAAAATACATGCCACTGCGGATCTTCGAAGGTCACATAGAATTGTCGGCAGAACAGTTGTGTTCAATCTTTGCGAATTATTTTGAAAGTAACTTTTATATCCTAATTTCCAAGACTCACGACTTACCCCTCTTGAAAAAATTTCCTAAAATTCTCCTTCAAATCTTCGTTTCATCGGAGAACCGAACCGTTAAATTCTATTAAAATGAACATCGTCTGGCCCCCTGGTGCTGAAGTATCCTGGAATCCACGTCGGGAAAGGCAAAAAAAAAAAAAAGGATTTGCATAAAATATGGAATTTTTCACGCCACGACGCTGCTTTTTTAAAACGATGATTCTGCGTGTAATTTCGCAGGGAAACATGACGTTCATTTCAGAATTCCCGTATGATGGGTACTTTGGGAACAAGGTTCAAGTACTTGGTATGACCGATGGGGGCCTGAGGCTTAATAAATTGATTTTTATTCTGACAAAGATGAGCACAGGCAAGAAAATATATTACGGGGTTGGTTCTCTTGCATATATAGCTACTCATATCCTTGTCCGGAATTAAGACGTAATTTTGCAGAAAAAATGTTCAAGAATTGTTCTCCATTAATACTGTTAGAATTTCCTCTGACTGAGTTTAGACTTGCCACAATCGTTTGCTGCAAGAATTTCCAGGTGGTTCAAGCGTCGCAAAATATTTTCAGCGTGACTCTTCTACTGAATATCATGCAGCCTATTTTCAGAAGAAAAACTTCGAATCTTCGCCATTTTTTGCCGTGCTGATATATTGTATGAAGTTTTTCTGTAAATTCCAATGGATCAAGTCAGGGGATTGAACTTGAATTGAATCCTCATCAGCAATCGCGAAAATAATTCCTTAAAGTTTTTCTACTG